GCAGTCCAATCGACATTTGGGATCGTGAAGTATGGTGGTGAGACCCCAGAAATCCCGGTGAATCTCAATCGCCGCTCTTGATCGTGGGTTCTGAGCCTCTGGCCGTGGAGACGCATTTATGGCCTGGATAGCTGGTGAACCAACATCTCAGGCTGTCATAATTCTTGTGAGAATGTCCACGTCTAATCACTCTGATCCTCATCACCAAATCCTGACTTCAGTCACTTCCCACCTTCGCTCATGCATTAAATGCTACTTTGTGGCCAATGGGTTTTGCTGCATTAAGCAGGCACTACTTCATTAAATGAAGCCTGGGACCCTGCTGTCACGTGATGATTTGCCTTTAATGTCTTGGCCGCAATTTTTTTCGGCCTCGGCCTCGGCCTATGCTTGAGGCCGAGATGATCATGCCTTAGCATTTCCTCTTTTATTTTTTAGGAAGGCGAAATACCCTGGCGAAACGCTGCGTTTCAGCTTCTGCGAACAAGTGCCAGGGCCGAGAGAAAGGGCTCCTTCGGCCAGCTTATGGCCGTGATTTATCAGGCACAAACACAGCCGATTGGAAAGAATGAAGGTGTGTTAGTGGATCCTCCACTCCTGTGTAAGGGGTTATGCGTAGGGGCTGTACGTCTCTGTCCTGCCGGGAGCGCCTTATGCGTTCGGTGAAGGGTCCTGGCCGGAGCCTTCCCCAGTCCGGCTCCTGAGAACGAGTTCGATCATCCTCCATCTTTTGTACCATTTGAAGGAGGAGGCGGATGACAGGGTCCCTGTCCGGTATCTCCTCCGCGGTTTGATGCACCGATCGCTGCTGGGACCTGACAGGGTTAACCTCAGAGAATTTCGTTGGCGTTGCCGAACGGTAGGACGATGACCGATTGGTGGAAGGAGCATACTCTCGGTCCGACTCTGCCGTTGATTCCAAGACTTGTATCCTCCGTATTGGAGACTTCCTCCCCATGTTTCTCAGTCGGGGATCGTCCAGGCGGGCATTTATCCTGATCGGCGATTCCTGCCGTTCAGACTGCCGTTCGACTTCCCGCTCTAACAGCCTGTGTCGGCAATCGAAATAGACCTTCTTCGGCCCATGGGGCTTATTTTTTGGTGCCGGGACCACCAATTGTTTAGACGGCGCAGGCATTGCCTTTGCCACCTTCTTGCCCTTTTTCTGCCGACGGGGAGTCTGTAGGCTCTCGGAGGATCGACCGGTCTGGATATTTTGCGTTTGCTGCTGGTTCAGCAGCTGTTGTGTTTCGTCCACCCTGGATGAGAGGAAATTGTTGTGTTCCTGCAACCTAGCCATGTCCTGCCGAAGGGACACGACTTGGGCTAAAAGCTCCGCATTTTCAGCGGGTTGGAGTACAGGTGGATTAGTTGCCAGGGTGCATGGGGGTGGCGCTGGGCTAACCCGGCTAGGCATGCCGAACGGCATCCCCTCCTGTGGTAGGAACGTAGCTTTTGAGTTGGTCCCCATGTGTTTGGGATAAAGGGTCGATTTTATCGTTTCCCACAGACGGCGCCAAACTGTTGACGCCAAAAAGTGATTCTCTGACTTTGTGGGTCAACTTAGTAATTTTTATGCCTTCGGTATCCTTAAGGCCTCGGTAGTCGACGTGATCTGCAATATGAGCAAACGCACAGTAAGACCTAGGGCACCGGTGTGGTACCGGCCGAAGGCTCTCCGATGCTTAAGTAAGTTCAGGAATAGAAAGTTCAACTGACAAATCAATAGGCTTGTATGCCGTGAGTTCTGATTACCTCCATTTTGGGATAGTTGGCCTCCTTTTATAGGCCTTGGGAGGTGTGCATTTGTTGATAATTTCGATGTGGGACTGTGGACGTCGCTTGGGAGCGTGCCACGTGTCCCAGGAGTGGGCGTTGCCCTAATGGAGAGATCGGTAGGTAGAGTGCCGAGGGCACCTTTGACCAAGCCCAATTTCCTCCACGTGTCTAGATCGGTAGGTAGATCGGTAGGTAAACACATATCTTGTAGGATTGCTACAACTCTTGTTTAATTGGTTTTACACCTGTATGAGTTTACCAGCAGAGTTTGTTTATGATTTCTATTTCTGCACATGAGTTTGTATTCCATTCATTTCATCCACTACAAGGAAATACACCTTTGGTGAAGAAACAATTTCATCAATCATGGGGACCTTATTGCCTGTCTATGATAGTCATCAATCATCATGGATCACTGATCGCTGCACATAATCGTTAGATAGTAGAACCACACGAAGGAATCTGGCAAAGGAAACCAACTCAAAACTAAAGGGTTTGTATAAAGGATAAATCTTTATTATCAAATTACATAAGAAATGGTGCATACATAAAGAGGCCTACAGACTAGAGATCACCTGAGTTCACTCTTCGTTTTCACCGCCGAAGGCCGAGTCGGTTTCTCCACTACTTGAGTCGGCTTGTTTTTCTTTCTTGTGGCCTTTATATTCGTTTTTGTTGGCAAAGTCGAAAATTCCTACACTACCTGAATATCTCCCCTTAATTGTATTCCCAGAAAAGTTGAAGGTATCGCCTCTTTCCGCCTCACCTCTCTTAGTATTATTCTTGGGCTTCGAGCTGCTGTTGTTTTCCTGCTCCATGTTCACTTTAGCATCCTCAGATGATTTCTTGTTATCACCAATTGTAGGCTTTAGGATTGGGGAGCCTGTAGACATATTCAATTTTGTCAAAACATCTTGAACAACTTCCTCAACAAATTCGGCCTCTGTGCTCCTGGCAAATATCGTTATGAAAGACAAACAATAGTATGAGTAAGTATGAATCAAATGATAACAAGTAGAAATTGATACAAGCTAGAGATTTAGTATACCCTGTTTTTCTTGAATAATGAAACCCAGAAATATTGGCTGCTTCCTCCAAAGCAGCCCTCCAGTTGGCCACCTCATCCCTACTGCCCTTAAGTGCATAAGTTGCCTTTTGTTTTCGTACATGTGATGGATCTATGCGATAAAAAATGGGTATAACAATCTGTCCATTCCTTTTCTTGCATCCAAGTATATGCACAAGTTCTTTCAAACACCAAGTGGAAGAAGCATAGTCTTTTGAGAAAATGACTAGTGCAATTTTCGATTCCTCGATTGCTTGTAGAAGGGCGGGTTCAATGTCGTCTCCTTTCTCAAGTCTGTCATCCATGTAGGTCTGAATATTCTTCCGAAGCAAAGCCCTCTGAAGATGGCTGGTAAAACCATCGCGTGTGTCCTCACCTCTGAAGCTAATAAACACATCATACTTTTCTGGAAGAGAGCGGATATAAGTATCAACAGCAGCAACAGAAGAAGTGGAAGAAAAAGAAGATGTTAATGATCTGAAGTACATGAAGAACAGAGTCATGATAATTATGATGAAAACTAGAAAGAACTCAATGGAGTCCATATCTGTTTCTCTGAATGCACCAGAGCTATAATTAAAGCAAATCTGATATTTGAGATGAAAACTTGGAGAAGAAAGATAATCTGATATTGTAGATGATGGATGGGTTTATTCAAGTTGCACCTGAGAGTCGAATTAAGCAGTTTAGAAAGAGGGAGAATAGAAAGCAGTAAACAAGGATTAAAGCCTATCCAAATGGAAGATAGCAGAAGGCGGTGGCAATGAGACCAATGCGGAGACCTTTCCTCGCTTTACAAAACAATTGCTATGTGGAAGGCCTTGAAATTCAAGCATTCATACACTGAAGAACGGAAACGCAACAGGACTAAGTAACCTGTAGCCATTTTTTCCACCTTGGGTCAAATATCTCGGCAACTCAAGTTTCTCGGCAACTCAAGTTTCTGAGGTCTATGACCGAGGGGTTTACTTGGTCACCACTTCGAATCCCAAGAAAAGTGCCCCCACTCCCCAAATCGCTGCATTTCAAAAACAAAAAATTTCTGAGGTCTATAATATAAGGGAAACGCAGCAGGCTCGATATTTCCGCATCCAACAAAATAAAATAAAAAACAGGCTCGATATTTCGTAGCAAGTGTGTGAACTCGCTTTCAGGAAGCTTCAATGCATGTTTAGTCTCTTTTTTTCACGAAAAAGCAATAATATCTTATTAAGGAAAGAATGAACGAGTACAACCAAAGTTTCCGATAAAGAGAATTAGACGAGTATCTCTACACATAAGAAATTAAAAAATATATCTCACATAAAAATCAGTAATTCAATACCTTTAAAGTCAAGAATTTTTTCAAATAATTGTAGTGTGGTACTGAAATATTGTATAACTTGTGGATGTTTTATGATATAACTTAAAATTGATAAATATTAACCATATCATTTATATATATTAACATACGTGGTACGAATTATACCACGTAGTTGTATTTCACAACTATACAATAATCTCACTAACTTATTATGAAAACGAGTAGTTGATCCAATGTCATCCCTTACGTCACAGACTTAATTCCAAATAGGTAAACATATTATAAAGTCTTTTTCAACTGCATATTTTATGTAGTGAAAACCAAAGTTAGAAGCATTCCTATCAAGAGGCAAAAAAACAAAGAGTTAAAAGCATTGGTAGTGAAGAGAGCACGTGGTGGTAGGTTTGGAAGGGCCCGGGGTGTTTCTTCACTTCAATAATGCTAAAAAAAACTTAATTTGGTGTAGGAATTCTCGGGTGGAGATCCCTCTTCGTTACTTTTCTGACACACGTGACATGTTCAGACATTAACCAAATTATTAAGAGCATCTCCAATAGTAATAGTAAATCAAAATTTTCAAATTGAATTTTTTTTTTTTTAAAGATATTTTTTATTGAGAAGGACGATAACATACTAAACTCACACACACTACATGATGCTAAATCTCGAATCTAGGACCTTGCTTGAGGGAGTAAATACTCCAAACCACTACACTAGTGGGTCATTTGCTTCAAATTGAAATTTGTTGACTTATACGTGACAATTTGAAAAGTTTTATTTACTACTTTAATATTTTGTGCCCAGCAGACTCTTTTTTTTTTTTTTTTTTTTGTCTGAACCACGAGATGGTCCTGGATGGGCCCCAACTATGGGTGGCACTTTTAAGCCTTAACCACAACCCAGACTAATCCCCGCTCACACCGGATCGACCCGTAAGAGATAAAGTGCTGGCCGAAGTGGTGACTCCGTACAAGAGTAGGGATCGAACCCCTGATCTCTCTTAAGGAATGAGAGTGCCGAACCACTCACACCAACCACCTTGGTTGCGCAGCAGACTCTTCAATTCAACTAATACAACATTTGACTTCAAACTATCATAATTAATAACATTCTTTTTTAAAAAGATAATTAATAACATTTTGATAAAAAAAATATTTAAAAACTAATAAGTCATTAAAACAAAATCCCCTTCTAATAAGTCATCAAATTACATAAGAAATGGTGCATACATAAAGAGGCCTACAGACTACAGATCACCTGAGTTCACTCTTCGTTTTCACTACCGGAGGCCGAGTCGGTTTCTCCACTACTTGAGCCGGCTTGTTTTTCTTTCTTGTGGCCTTCATATTCGTTTTTGTTGCCAAACTCGAAAATTCCTACCCTACCTGAATTTCTCCCCTTAATTGTATTCCCAGAAATGTTGAAGGCATCGCCTCTTTTGGCCTCACCTCTTTTAGTATTATTCTTGGGCTTGGTAGTTGTACTAGAAGTAGCACAGCTTTTGGAACCCGTTGCTGGGGGATTCGAGCTGCTGTTGTAATTTTGTATTAAGCCTGTAGACATATTCAATTTTGTCAAAACATCTTGAACAACTTCCTCAACAAAATCGGCCTCTGTCCTCCTGGCAAATATCATTATGAAAGACAAACAATAGTATGAGTAAGTATGAATCAAATGATAACAAGTAGAAATTGATACAAGCTAGAGATTTAGTATACCCTGTTTTTCTTAAATCATAAAACCCAGAAATATTGGCTGCTTCCTCCAAAGCAGCCCTCCAGTTGGCCACCTCATCCCTACTGCCCTTAAGTGCATAAGTTGACTTTTGTTTTCGTACATGTGATGGATCTATGCGATAAAAAATGGGTATAACAATCTGTCCATGTTTTTTCTTGCATCCAAGTATATGCACAAGTTCTTTCAAACACCAAGTGGAAGAAGCGTAGTCTTCTGAGAAAATGACTAGTGCAATTTTCGATCTCTCGATTGCTTTTAGAAGGGCAGGTCCAATGTCGTCTCCTTTCTCAAGTCTGTCATCCATGTAGGTCTCAATGTTCTTCCGAAGCAAAGCCTTGTGAAGATGGCTGGTAAAACCATCGCGTGTTTCCTCACCTCTGAAGCTAATAAAGACATCATACTTTTTTTGAAGAGGGGGGATATCAGTATCAACAGCAGCAACAGAAGAAGTGGAAGAAGAAGAAGATGTCAATGTTCTGAAGTACATGAAGAACAGAGTCATGATAATTATGATGAAAACTTGAAAGAACTCAATGGAGTCCATATCTGTTTCTCTGAATGCACCAGAGCTATAATTAAAGCAAATCTGATATTTGAGATGAAAACTTGGAGAAGAAAGATAATCTGATATTGTAGATTTAGCCTAACTGACATTTTTACACAAAGCAATGTGAATCGCCGAATTCATACAAGAAAAACCATATCTGAACCTTAAAAGATACTAAAAAAACTATCCGGAAAACAGATCCAATTGATCCACCAAAGGAAAGTAAGAAACAAAAAGAGATATCAGACAAAGAGGAGAAGAGAAGAAGAAATAAAGATCTGGTGAGAAATAAAACAAAGAAATAAAAAAAAAAGGAAAAAAAATAAGAAAAGAGAGGAAGAAATAATCAGTTAGAAAGAATAGAGGAAAGAAAGAATAAATGAGATGAGAGGAGATAAAAGAAAGAATCGGAGAAAGGAGAGGAAGAAAGAATCGGGGAGCAAGAAGAGAGGAAAGAAAGAATGAGAGAGACAAGAAGAGGAAAGAGAGAAGAAATCAGAGATAACAGAGAACTTAGGGAAGAGAGAGAAATGAGAGGAATAAACAAAAATATTTTGTTTATGGGTCTTGGGCTCTCTCCCTGTTTCCTATTTTTCCCCTGCTCGGCCTTGGGCTCTCTCTTTAAGAAAATCCAATGTTCACTCTTTGTTCAGATTTTATTACCTTATTTAGGTCCAGGAGGAGAATGAAGTGGATAATGTGGAAATTGCCCAATCAGATTATTTCACATACCAAATTGTTGGGTGGATTAAGAAGCTGCAATTATGGCATGTTTACTAATCCGGAATTGAATTAGGGGGAATTGAATTGAGGATGAATTGAATTGAGGAGGAGTTGGATTGAGGAGGATTAGATTCCGGATTCCTAATGAAGTTGTTTACTAAACCATATGGATTGAGGGGAGTTAGATTCCGAATTCTTATTGAAGTTGTTTACTAAACCATAAGGAATTGGGGTATAAGTGGTACTAATTACTAAAATGTCCTCATTTTTTGGTTAAAGTATATGGCGTATTTGGAATTTTGAAAATTGTGTGAGGATATAATGGGTAAAAAAGATGAATTCCTAATGGGTGAATTCTCCAGGAATTAGAATGCCACCTCCCATTCAGTAATTGAATTCCTCCAAAATCAGGAATTCAATTCCTAATTTGGTGTGGGCCCCGCTTACTTTTTCAATTTCTTATGTGAAGTAAACGCAGGAATTCTCTATAGGCGGAATTCAATTCCTGATGAGAATTCCAATTCCTGATTAGTAAACATGCCATTAGAGTTTTGAGACATAGATGTTGTGCATTCTCCTTGACTATGTGGAAACTTTTCACTACAAATATCAATCACTTTCTTTAAACATCACAAAACCAAAACAAAACTACGTATGCAAGCTAGAGTTTACAATTCTAGACGCAACAAATATATCATATATTTGACATTGATTTTCAATCACTGAGGCTTGAAGAAGCTCACCTTAATACCAGTATCAATCACAACATAAAGACCAGCCGCAGTCAACATAACACTTAAAATCATCCCCACAACCCCAAGCACCCAGTTAACCCCCCAACTTATGCCGTACTTCTTAGGCTTCTTCATCTTGATCCACATGAAACATGGATAGGCCAATGTCACAGGCAATGAAATCCCTCCTAGCAAACCAGCCACGCTTCTCAGCTAGCAAACCAGCCACGATTCTCAGGAAGGGGATGGCCACAGCCATGAAGTAGCATCCATAAGTAAACATGCATATCACAATGGCCCTCAGCCACCATGGAGCTGGCTTCTTGAACCTCCTAGTGTAATGTGACTCCATCTCGTCGAACATCAGCATGCCATAGATTTGGAAGGAGCTCAATGCATTGACTATGACAAACAAACTTGCTAGCCCTAAGATGAATTGGGACGTGTCGAGCGCATGGAAGCCGAACAAGGCTGCAAACATGCCTTCTTGTGCCGGTATCTGCGAATGAGAAAACATATTAGTGTGTTGCAATTAAATGTTCTTTTATCAGATATCTAACATATTTTATATTATCAGAATGTTAATTCAAACTACGTTCAAACATTCAAATAATAGTCCGAATTAATAATCTGACAATATAACGTTGGTTTAGGGTATGGTATACCTTTTGACCGTATGCCCAATAGCCTACAATTACTGAAATTGGTACTTAGGTGACGAGGGGTAAATTTAAATGCTATTCAAACAGACACAGCAATATTCACACACTTTAAAACTTGACCAAAGATGATTATGACTAGTCAACAACTAGTCATGAAAGCCATAACCAAGAACACACAGAGCACACCAATCTGTACCTGCAAGCCTAGAAGATTACTAGTGACAACCTAGGAGTAAACATTGAGAAAGATGTTTTTGACGGGTCCTTCTGAGTGCCTAGGTTGTCGGAAACCCAGAGGCCGTCGTTTAGATGACGACCCAAAATTAAAAGCTGTAACCAACGTCAGTTAGATGACGACCCAAAATTAAAGGTGTGTGTACTCTTTTTATTTTTGTCAAAAAGGGCCTGCACCTCATAGAAAAATAGGGGCCAGTCTCCACAAATTGCAGAAACACACTCCAACTCCAACTAGGAAACAAACACCTACATAATTAAAGGAAAGCCAATAGACATAAACACACGTGGTCTTCAGCTTTTATTGGCGAGAGACCCACTCGGGCAAAAGGGGCGGCTCCTGCGGGTCTTTGTCGTCATCT